ACAACCTCACCTCACCTCATCTCATCTCACACCACCTCACCTTACCTCACCTCTCCTCATTTCACCTCAGCTCACCCCACCTCACCTCACCCCACCTCACCTCACCTCACATGACCTCACTTCACCTCATCTCAACTCACACCACCTCACCTCACCTCATCTCATCTCACACCACCTCACCTCACCTCACATGACTGGGAGCAGGACATTAGGTGAGCTGAATACATTTCCAAAGGAGTCTATTCCAAAACATGAGATGATGGGTGTTAACACTCTTTGAAAAATGAGATATCGTATCTTCTCTAATCTTGCCAAGGATTTGAAGGGAAACATACACAGTATGCTAGGGTGCTAATGACCTGAGGTTACCTGGAATGCAGATTTGTGATCCAAAGACATCTTAGCAGATGAGTTTGGTGAACTGAAACTAATACACTAAATACTGAGTAGAAATAAATGGAATGCCCTGCATCTTGGTTCAAAAAACCAGCTACGCAGCTTATTCATATATAGCGGCATACTTAAAGAATACTTTGGTAATTTCTTTGATCACATGAACAGGACATAGGATAATACCTGAAAACTGAGTATAATCTTGCTACCATCAAAACAAAGGGATAGGATGGGTCAGAATAAACCTGGTATTATTCCTTTGGATGCTACACACAGTCACTGATAAAATGAAATAAAACTAGAAGTTCTAGATAAGTGATACTTTCTCGATTATAAAAATAATAATAGTACATCAGTACTGATTTGAATAAGATCATATAGATTGTTATTTACATGCCAAGAAACCTACACAGGGTTGGAACATAACTCAGAATTATGTTACTGAAGAGTGAGGAAAAGATCCAGGACTTTGATGTTGCATAAAAGAAGACTGTGGGGGAAAGGATGGTCAGGGCTGTCATACGGGAATGTGAACGTGATATTCTCCGCAGTCCCGGGGGACATCATTATGGCCAACAGGAGCAAGCTTCAGGGTGCAGGGCTTGCTATAAAAAAGGGCCTTTTAACAGCTGGGAGTTCAGCCATGAAATGGACTGCCCTGTGAGGATAAGGAGATAAGGAAAGAACTGGCGGTGACAGGACCAAGGTAATAGGTGCTAATAACCACAGGTACAAGCCACTAAAACCAGTCATGGTGAAGAGAAGAAAAGAAGTAAGACAGGAGCTAGGAAGGACAGCATGATCAGCTGAGGTAGCTGTTGTTGGTGGTGGTGGCGGTTTGTCTATTTTTTAAGATAAGTGAGTCCTTTCTTATCTACAGAAGGGAAAGGGAAGGGGGAAAAAAGAAATTAAAGAGATGGATGAAAAAAGCAGAGTTTCAGAGGACAGATGAACTGGGTAACTTAGCAATAGCAGACAGAAAAGACAGATGTCAAGATAAAAATAAAAGTGAACAGAAGAAGCAGTTCACACTGGAAAGTAAGATAGCCATTTGGAATAGAGTCAAGAAAGAGAAAAAGGGGGGGCAGTGGTAGAAAGTAGCAGAAAGAAAGAAGGTATGAGCATCGCTGAGAGATGCTTGCTTTACCATGGGCCTGCATCCAAGACTTATTTGTCAAGAATTACTTTTTAAATATGTTTAAACTATTTAAAATAATTTTAGGGTATAGGAGCTCATCTAAATTTCAGCATAGAAGAATGTGATTTTAGTGGGAGGCAGTTGTTAATAAACAGGTTTTGAAGAAAGGTCGTAATGTGGTCAAGTTACCTGACTGGTCCAAGCTTGTTCCCTCATATGCAAAATGAGTTGTTGTAAGGATCAAATAAGGTATATGTGACCATTAGTAACCACTTCATAAGTTACTATTATTTTTACTAAATTGGAAGCTCCCTATGGACAACGATTAGCAGGTAGAAATTCCACAGATAAATAAATGCGCTAAAAAATTAATTCATTCACCAAATAGTGAGCGCTTACCGGGTACAGCAATGAAAAAAACGTAATAATCTCTGTCTTTATGTAAGCGTAGATTGGAGAAGACAAACAATTAACAAATAAATATGAAAAACAGAAAACATATCAGATGATGAAGCATAAAGAAGCAAAAGAGGATGTGGAGTGCTGGGTTGGAGACAACTATTTTAAGTAGGGGAGTCAGAGAAATAGGTCAGGAGAAATGTGGTCTGACTTTTATGTTAGGGGAGGATCACGCTGGCTGCTGTCCAGAGGATGGATCGTAAAGGGTGCAAGGGTGGGAACTCGGACTAACAGGACGTCTGTTAATTAACACAATTGAGAGAGAATGGTGGTTTGGCCCAAGGTGGTTGGAGAAAGTGATGAGAAATGATTAGATTCTGCATATACCTGAAGGTAGTCTGGTAGGATTTGCTGACCAAATTAGACATGGGACGTTGTAAAGATAAGCAAAGAATGATGCCAAGTTTTCTGACCCGAGGAAGATGAAAAATGAGATTACTATTTACTGAGAAGGGGAAGATCGCCCAAGGAACATCCTTTGGGTAGGTTGATGGAAAGATGGGGAATTTGCTTTTGTACATGTTAAGTTGTAGATGTCCTTTATTAATCAAAATGAAGATGTCAAGTAGGCAGTCGGATTAAGAAATTTGGAGTTCAGGGGAGAGGTTGTGGGTAGAGATTTACAACATCTGAAAGAATTATCAGTATCTGGAGCTATTTAAAGTAATCTGGGGAGACAGTATAGATACCATGGAGGAAAGGTCTGAGGAGTGAACACTGAGTGTTCCAATATTCAGAGGTTGACGAGGTGAAGTGATACCAACAAAGTGATTGAACGGAAGTGGCCGTGAAGTCAAAAGAGAACTAGGAAGTAGCAAAAAGCAAGTTTAAAAAAAAAGCTTCAAGGAAGAGGAAACATCAGCTATGTCAAATGATTTTTTATATTGGTGTTTTAGACTATGTTGAATAGGAGTGGTGATAGTGGGCATTCTTGTCTTGTCCCAGATTTTAGTGGGAAGCTTTTGAGTTTTTCACCGTTGAGTGCTATGCTGGCTGTAGGTTTCTCGTATATAGCTTTTATTATGTTGAGATATGTTCCCTCTATACCCACTTTGGCGAGAGTTTTTATCATAAATGGGTGTTGAATTTTATCAAATGCTTTTTCTGCATCTATTGAGATGATCATGTGGCTTTTGTCCTTTCTCTTGTTGATGTGATGTATTACATTGATTGATTTGCATACATTGAACCACCCTTGTGTCCCTGGGATGAACCCCACTTGGTCATGATGTATAATCTTTTTTATGTGCTGTTGGATTCTATTTGCTAATATTTTGTTGAGGATTTTTGCATCTATGTTCATCAGTGATATTGGCCTATAATTCTCTTTTTCAGTACTGTCTTTGCCTGGTTTTGGTATCAGGGTGATGGTGGCTTCATAGAATGAATTTGGGAGTATTCCCTCCTTTTCAATCTTCTGGAATAGTCTGAGACGGACTGGTATGAGTTCCTCATTGTATGTTTGGTAGAATTCCCCAGTGAAGCCATGTGGTCCTGGACTTTTTATTTGTAGGGAGGTTTT